TACCACGTCCGCAATTCCTACACCCGTCGGACCCTTGAACCCACCTGTAAGTGACCCCCCCCAAGATTCCCTGCCCTGATCTGGGGCTAGAAAATATAGAGAATTGAGCTGAATGGGCTTCTATACATGCGTAAGACAAAAATTCCTGGAAGCCTTGAGTATTAGAAGCTCAGACTTTAGAACCACACAGAGCTTAGAATAATAGGATCTTACTCAGTAATTGTTTTTCTGTTTTCTTTTTTCAGTTTGCTATAGGGCTCATGCTCTCACCAGAGACAGTCAGACAGAGAGAGAGAGAGAGAGAGAAAGAGAGATAGAAAGCACTCTCCAGGGAGGCTGACCAAGCTGTAATCCTTTATCCTCTATTCTCCTTTTGGAATTTTTGGACACACATGCACACACACCTGGCGTATTTTTCCAAGCTGCCGGGTTCAGGCTCAAACCACACAGTTGGTTATGTGGAATCCAGCTTTCTTAACTACCATCCACATGGCTGGACCCGTAGTATATAAAAGTTTCATTTATTTATGAAGAGAAACACATGGAGAGACTCTTGATAGGTCATGCCATGCCACAATCATCCTACCCTAGCCTCCCAGCCAGTCAGGACTACAGACATCTCCCCATCATACCTGGTGGGTTCAGGAGCCAAACCTGGGTCTCCCATGTGGTTCTAGTGGTTCTAGGACTGCGCAGTGGCACCTACTGCCTGCACCAACATGGCTGCGCCTTAGACACAGTAAATCTTGGAAAACTCATACCTCAGAGTCCCAGAATCTTAGAACATTGTCGTGATGATGATGTCAGTGATGTTATGATGACACCGAGGATGGTGATGCTCATTTGTGATGATATTAAACGGTGATGTGATGTTGAGATTCGATGATGGGGCAGATGATGGTGATAAGGATGATGAAGATAGGACAGCTAAGCCTAATACTGCCTACGTGACAGTGGCTCTTCTAAGCATTCTACTTATGTCACCTCAGTGAATTCTCACAATCACTGAAGGAGGTGGGTCCTATTATTACCACCATTCACAGATGCAGGAGTCGTGGCACAGAGTGGTCAAGTAACTTGCCCAAGGCCACACAGTTTGTAAGTTGGATAGCTGGGGTTTCAACTCAGGTAATTTTGCTCTGAAGTCCATACCTGCCACACTCTAGTGCCTCTTGGAGTTATAGAACGTTAGAAAGATAGTATTGAGTCCCAGACCCGGTGGCTTAAACTCATGCTGGGCGTGTGTGCGTGCGTGCCCAAAATCCCTAGAGGAGAATGGAGAAGAAGGGATTGCGGCATGGCCATCCCCCTGGGGGGTGATTTCTCTCTTTTTGTCTCTCTGTCTCTCTCTGTCTTTCTGGCGAGTGCACGCGCCCTATAGCAAAAACCTCTCCAGAAAAAAAGAAAGATAGAATTGACCTTGGTCTGAAAAATTGTAGACTCACTATTATACACACCTATAATTTTGGAAATTGTAGAATTATTGGGTCATTGGGGCTGGCAGATGGCATAGTGGTTAAAGGGGCTGGACTCCCACATGGCCAACCACGGTTCAAGTCTTAGACGTGGTGGCTTCCCTTCTCACTTTCCATCACTCTCTCTGTCTCTCTCTGGTCAAATTGGAAAATAATAATAAATAAAGTTAAAATAAAATAATTCTTTTAAAAAAAGGATTATTGGGTTGTCAGAAAAGTCATGATGCATTTTTACATGGAAAACCAGAAAAATATGTCATGACTTTTCCAATGATCCAATAGAACTGTGGAATTTGTTAGAGGATTGTAGAGTCATGGAGGGTCCCAGCTCAGAAGGACCTCAGAGGCCAACCCATCAAAGCACCTCATCTTTCCAGCTGGAGAAACTGAAATCCAGAAAGAAGGGACAGAGTTAGGTCTCCTCCTAGCACACAGTGAGACGCTACCAGGGCCCCAGGGGATGTCTGGAAAGGGCTGGGAAAGACATTTATTTAAGAGGAGAAGGAAGAAGCGAGGTCACAGTGATTTCACAGAATAAGGCACAGTAATAGTTCTCGAAGTGTGAGATAGCCCCCTGGGGTCCCTAGATCTTCGCAGGAGGTCCTGAGGTCACACTTATTTTCATAATAATACCAAGATGCTATTTGCCCTTTTGCACTCTCATGTTGTCATGAGCATTCAGAGTTTTCCAGAGGTTCCCTGACCTGTGACGATGTCATGAATCTGGTGCTTAATGGAGTGCGTTCTTTTTATTCCCCTCTAAGAATTATTTATTTAATTTTATCTATTATGATTATTATTATTTAAAATCTTTTTTAGGAATTATTTTATTTAACTTCATTTATTTATTATTTTTAAATTTGACCAGAAAGGGACAGAGTGAGAGAGAGAGAGAGAAAGCAAGCCGCCAGGTCCGGGACTCAAACCGCAGTCGGCCATGTGGGAGTTCAGTGCCTTTAACCACCATACCATCTGCTGGCCCCTATTACTTAAAATTTTTCTGTTGGGCACATGTGCTCACTAGAAAGAGACAGTTGAGAAAGCCAAGCCACTGGGTCTGGGACTCCAACTGCAGTGAGCCATGTGGGAGTCCAGCATCCTAACCACCTCACCACTTGCTAGTCCCTGGATTGTATGTTTGTGCTTTAAAGATCTATCAGCTTGGGGCCAGCCCATGGCCTGGTAATTAAAGGAGCTGGATCCCACATGACTGACCAGGCAGTTCAAGTCCTGGACTCTGTGACTTGAAAAACATGCCAGGTGTGTGTGTGTGTCTGTGTGTGTGTGTGTATGTGTGTGTGTGTCCCAAATCCTGAAATGATGGTGAGATGGAGGAGAAGGGACTAAAGCATGACCATGACCCATGGTGGGTACTTTCTTCCTCTCTGTCTCTTTCTCTCTGACAAGTGTGTGTGCCTTCTGACAAATAAAAAAAGAAGAAAAAGAACAAGAAAGAAGAAGAAGAAGCCTATCAGATTTAGGCCTCATAAAAGTGGAGAGCAGAAGAGGGGCTGGCAAGTGGCATGGTAGTTAAGGGCCCTGGACTCCCACATGGCCAATTCGAGTCCCAGACCTAGTGGCGTGCTTTCTCACTTTCCCTTTCTTTTTCTCTCACTCTGTCCCTCTCTGGTCAAATTAAAATACAGACATAAATAAAAATAAAATCATCTTAAAAATCTATCAACTTTGGGGCCAGCAGGTGGCATAGTGGTTAAAGTAGGACATGGTTGACAGCAGTTTGAGTCCTAGACCTAGAAGCTTGAAACTCACGCCAGGTGCGTGTGTGTGCCCAAAATCCTGAGAGAAGAGCGGAGGAGAAAGGATTGCGGCATGGCCATCCCCTCCTGGGGGTGATTTCTCACTTTCTGTCTCTATCTCACTGTCCTAATGGCAAGTGTCTGTACCCTTTAGTAAAAATCTCTTAAAAAAAAAAAAAAAAAAAACCTCCCTATCAATTTTTGTTTGGAGGGGGGGCAACAGATGGTGTGGTATTTATTTTAATTATTTTATATTTATTTATTTGTTTGTTTGTTTATTTTAATTTGACCAGAGAGAGACAGAGAGAGGCAGAGAGACATAAAGCCAGAAGTCACTCCCAAGGGGGCATGGTCATGCCACAATACCTTCTCTTCCATCCCCCTCTTAGGATTTTGGGCACACACGCACAGGTGCCTGGCGTGAGTTTCAAGCCATTTTGTCATCTGCTGGTCCTGGGATCCAGTTGTCTTAACCACCATGGCACCATTTGACCCACAGTTTTAATTTTGAATACAGTAAATATTGAAATACACATACACACACACACACACACCAATAATTTTTTTTAGTTTTTTTTGCCATAGGGGCACATGCATTTGCCAGAGAGACAAAAACAGTGAGCAGGAAAGTGAGAACTAACCCCTCCACACTGCAATCCCTTCTCCTCCCAGGATTCTGGGCATGCACACACAAGCGCTTGGTGCTGAGTTTCAAGCTGCCAGATTCGCATTCAAACCGCAGTCTGTCATGTGGGAGCCCAGCACCTTAACCACTATACCATCTGCGGGTCCCAGTCCTCAATAATTTTAAGAATATAAAGGAGTCCTGAAGTCAGTAAGTTTGAGAACTGTAACTATACAGCAAAGAAAATGAATAAATTATACCTACACATAACTATAACTATATTACAACTATCTCTCATGGGCATAATGTTGAGTGAAAGAAGTCAGACACTGCAGTTTGAGTCCCAGACCCAGTGGCTTAAATTCACGCCAGATGCATGTGCATGAATGCCTATTATCCCAAGAGGAGAATGGAGATGAAGGGATTGCAGTGTGGCCATCTCCCCTCTGGGGGTAATTTCTCGCTGTCTCTCTCTCTCTCCAGTGAGCGCACGTGCCCTATAGCAAAAATCTCTCTTAAAAACAAACAAACAAAAAACAAAAGAGAATATACTTTATGATCTCATGTTTTTGGTAACAGTCCCAAACATATAAAAGTAATCAATTATAAAAGAAGTCAAGAAAATGGCTACTATCCCAGCCTGGCAGAGTAGTTAGTAGCAAACTGAATGGCAGTGCCAGGTTGGCCATAAATCCCTGGGTTGGCTTGAAAACATGCTGGGCGTGAGCACATGTGCCCAAGATCCTGAAGAACTGGAGGGCAGAAGAAAGGGGATCATGGCTTGGTGAGGTGCTTCTCTCTCTGTTGCATATGCAATGTTCTATCATGAATAAATAAATAAAATTTTAAAAGAGAAAGAAAAAAAGAAAAGAAAGAAGCTACCCTTGGGAGGGCAGGCCATATTTTCATTAATTCATTTTTGCATGTGCTCACCAGAGAGAGGCAGAGGTAGGGAAGTGAGGAAGCATTCTCCCAAGGAGGCATGGCCATACCACAATCCCTTCCTTTCCATCTTTTTCCTGGGACTTTGGGCACACATGCAAATGCACCTGGCATGTTTTTCAAACCCCCACATCCAGGATTCAAATTACACAGTTGGCCGTGTGGGATCCAGTCACCTTAACCAGCATGCTACCTGGTTGGCCCATGGGCATTTCTACTTCTTGACCCTAGTGCCAGTTCTACAGTTGTGTTTAGCTCTTGAAAATTTATTGAGTCACTTACTTAGGATTTGTGTAGATTATAGTTTAATAAAAAGAGAAAAGTATTTTTAACAAACAGCAGAGTGCTGACCAATCAGGATGCCCACTGGAGCAAGACTGTGATCAGGTTTTAACCCTTTAATTGCTGCTTTGGATGAAGGTCGGGGGGCTCCAGAGTGGGGGTGTCCACTACAGCAGTACTTCAGTATTTCAGCAACGGGTAAATCCCTGCTGGTGCATGTCACTTGAATGTCAGTCCTACTCCATGGTGCCCACCCCCACCCCCACCCCATGCAGTGAACAGCCTGGGCATCAGTGAAGAGCTGAAGGAGAAGCTGCGGGATGTGATGGTGGACAGGCATAAGGTGGCTCTGGGAAAGACCCTGGGAGAAGGTGAGTGCCCCCACCCCAGCACATACACATCCTCCTGAACCCTGGGGTCCTTCACTTCCCCCCTTCCACCCAGTGGAGAAAATGGTCCCCAAGGTGCTCCCCTCTCAATGTCAATGTCTCCCCTGGCTCACCACAGGAGAGTTCGGAGCCGTGATGGAGGGCCAACTCAATCAGGACGACTCCGTCCTCAAGGTGGCCGTGAAGACAATGAAGAGTGAGTCAGTGCATGCGTGTGCACACATGTGAGGTCCCTCACCTTCTAACCCCAGATCTCTCCCCTGTGCCCCTGAGAAGGAAAGAGGACAAGAACATTCATGGCAAATTAGCCATAGCCTAGAGCCCTAGTGTTTCCAGGTAGAAAATGGAGCCCATGTCAGGTGCTTCCATGGAAGGAACTGAATACGTGTGATTACTACCCAGGAGGAGGAAGGACTGAAGGAATTAACTGGGGCTGTGAGACAGCCTGGAGATGAGCAGCTTCAGGAAGCTACTCCCCCCACCCTAACCCTGGAGGGCAGGGGGAGAAAGAGGTGTTATCTGAGCCCAGGGACACTTCTCAGGGTTGAGACGACAGAATTAAGGGCTACCTCGTGGGGGCTAGAAACACAGGGAGCCATTGAGACCACTGAGGCAAGGCCAGAGGCAGAAAGAGAGTGAAATGTCCTGCAGTATTAGTGGGCATTCTCCAGGGAGACAGAGCCAATGGATATGGATAGATACATAAGGAAGGATTTATTGGGGAAATCGGCTCCACAGTGTGGTGGCTGAGAAGTCCCACAGCAGGCCTCCGATCGGCCAAGTCCAAAGGCCTCAGAGGCTGTGAAGCTGATGATGTAACTCATATTCCAAGGCCGAGAGTCTGAAAACCCGGGGTGAGGGGGCCTACTGGGGTCAGTCCTGAGTCTGAAGCCAGGCGAATCTCTCCTGCTGTCTCTCAAGAGAGACTCCTCGTCTTCTGTATCTGTTCTCTCCAGCCGTTCATTGGGTCATGCCTGCCCACATGAGGGCGGATCTTCCTCACCCAGTCTACTCACACGTGACCCTCTGAAGAAAACGCCCACTCAGACACGCCCAGAGCAATGCATTATCAGCCTCCCGGGTATTCCTCAGTCCAGTCCAGTTGAACCAAAAATAACCATCACACCTGAGTTCTCTCTCCACCCTGCCACTTGCCGGCCTCCCATTAGTGCCTACCATTGGTAAACTCTGACAGGAAACCAGCAGGAGGGGAGCCTAGGAAATGTAGTTTTCAGGGGCCAGCTCCTGAAATACGCTCCTGTGAGACTGGCAGGGCAAGGCGAGGTCTGGAATGAATGAGGCACACTTCATTTACTAGCTGTGTGAGCTCAGGCAAGTGATTCTCCCTCTCTGAGCCGCCCTTCCCTTATCTGGAAAAAAGGATCTTACTGTTCCTACCTCTTAGGGCTACCACTAGGAGGCAAAGCACCTAGTGCTAGGGACTGCAGGCAGTACGTGCTGTTCTTGGGGGCCAGGACTACAGAATTTACATCATCAGAGAGAGGGAGAGCCAGTCCAGAGTCACACAGCACATGAAGTTCAGGGTCAAATGCTTTCCTACTGGGGGAAGAAGTTTAATGGCTTCAGGCTGGGCCTGGAGGTAAGGGAAGAATGATCCTTTCTGAATGGTAGAGATTCAAAGCTTGGGTTTCCGAGTCATCACTCGTTCATTCATTATTGTGCACCTCCTAGGTACCAGCTCAGGTTGTTAACCAGGGTTCGAGTCCCAGTCATGCAGCCTTGGGTCACAGTGTCTTGTACTGTACAACGGGACAAGTAACACCCTGTGGGGCCCTTGGGCGGTTGGCAAAGTGCTAGGATGCTGCCTCACTTGGACATGAGCTTGGAGGCTCTGGCCCAGACTGCCTGGGGTGGAGTTCTGCATAGTCTACTTCCAAGCAGTGTGTGCCCTTAGGCAGGTCTTTTAACTATTGTTTTTAAAAAGAATTATTTTATTTAACTTTGTTTATTTAAACTTGACCCAGAGGGACAGAGTGAGAGTGAGAGAGAAGGTGAGCAGACAGGCCACCAGGTTCAGGAACTGCAATCAGCCATGTGGGAGTCCACCTGCCGGCTCCATGGTTCTTTAACCTTGTAATGTGCTGGTTTCCTCATATTTAAAGCAGGACATTAGTAATAGCACCTCAGAGGACTAAATGAGTTAATATACACAGAGCACTGAGTACAGCACCTGGCACTTACTAATCGTGTTTGAAGACGAGAAGATGATGCAGAGATGGAGGAGGGAGAGTCCTCTCTCCCCTCCCCACCCCTCATCCACCTTCCTCTCTCCCCCAAGTTGCCATCTGCACGAGGTCGGAGCTGGAGGACTTCCTGAGTGAAGCCGTCTGCATGAAGGAATTCGACCACCCCAATGTCATGAGGCTCATTGGTGAGGGAGGGGTTCCTCAGGCGACACCAGAGGGAAGACCAATCCTTTTGGGATGGGAAAAATCAAATCTCCAGGCTCCCTTCTCTCCCTCCTTCAGGGACAGCAGGCACCCCCTCCTCCTCTCTCTTAGCTTGGAATGTGATCTCTGACCATTCCCAGAAATAGCTGAGTGCCCCAGGAGGGCTCCGGAAACATCCCTGGGAACTCTACTGGACATGGCTTCTCCGAAGCTGGGTCCTTGCCATCCCCGCCCCGCAGTCCCCCAACAAGCCAGAGACCAGATTGGAGGGAGAAGGAGAAGGGAGGCTGGTGTCTGGCTGGGAGGGGGGCTTGCCTCGCCGTCTGCTCTGCTGGAGTAACAGGGCTGCCTGGGGGGTTCAGGCGTCTGTTTCCAGGGTTCCGAACGAGAGGGCTTCCCGGCACCTGTGGTCATCTTACCTTTCATGAAGCATGGAGACCTACACAGTTTCCTCCTCTATTCCCGGCTCGGGGACCAGCCAGTGGTGAGGGACATTTAATCGTACAGTCCATGAGTAATCATCAAGCACCTGCTGTGTCCTGAGGGGCTGCACAGACACTGGAAAGGCCACGACCACCAAGAGCTTGCTCTAATGGAGCACATCTTCCATGATTCCATAGAGGGGAGGGGGCAGGACCAGGCAATAGACAGGTAATAGAGGGACCAGCAGTTGGCGTAATGGCTATGTCGCTAGACTCCCATGTAGTCGACTGCGGTTCAAGTCCTGGACCCAGTGGCTTAAACTCATGCAGGGCACGTGTGCATGCATGCCCAAGATCCCGAGAGGAGAATGGAGGAGAAGGGATTGTGGGGTGGCCATCCCCCCAGGGGGTGATTTCTCACTTTCTGTCTCTCTGTCTCTCGCTGTCTTCCTGGAAAGCGCACGTGCCCTATAGCAAAAACCTCTCAAAAACAAAACAAACAAACAAACAAAAAAACAGCTAAAAAATACCTAGGCAAGGTCATTTCAGTGCTGGGAAGGACATACAGTGGCATGAATGAGGAGTCCAGGCACTTCTGGGTGGACAGAAAAGGCCTCACCGAGGAGGTGACCTTGAAGGGGAAGTTGACTTGGAGTGATATTGGGAGACCTGGGCAGGATGTGACCCCAACAAAGGGCACATCGTGGGCAAAGGCATGGAGAGGGGAACGAGCATGGCTCGTCTGAAGACCAGAGTCCAACTGAGGCCCTTAACTGGAGTGCGTGTCAAGGGCAAAAGCAGCAGGCAAATCAATTGGAGAGGAAGGCAGGAGCAGACTGTAGGCGTTGGGCCTTGGAAGCCACAGGCAGGGGGGGGCGCGGGGGGAGCGGGGGGGCCAACGGGAG